CCCCCCCCCACATCGAACCAGGCACATCGGCATTACGAACTTCGTTCCCAACCCATAAGCACCCAGAAAAGAAACATTTGGTTCAAAAAGTGATAAACCATAGAGAAGGGCAGCGTGCTCTCCAGCATGACATTCGCCTCTTTCATTGTGTTCAAAATGCAGGTTTTAAAGAGGTTTTTTTTTTTTTACTAAATATCAACGTATTACCTACACCTATATGCTACAAAACAGTGATACCATTGCTATTTCTTCCACTGAGGGGGCTGGGTTGTCTCTAGGCATGGCGTTCGCCTCAAGTGCTGGAGTTCTCGGGTTTATTACCCGGTGAAGGCTGGGATGTTTTTACGTGGACATCTAGTAATTTCTTTAGGTCACTGTGTATTAAGATCAGACGCCAGTGTGTATTGTTACCCACGTAAAAAAATTCTTTGGCGGCTATGAATAGAAAAGAAGTAGCCTAACGGTGCTGCTCGCGCAAAACTGAGACTTAAAAAAACTACCTAAAGTATTTCAGGATCCTCGCCAGTGCTACAGAGTTCGTACACTGCGTTGAGATTTTTCGGACTCAGGCTTAGGTTTAAAGTAGAACGAAACATTTATAGGTTACTACCCTTGTTTACATCTAAAACTTATGTCAGGGTATGAGAAATCATGGTAAACCTAGAATCTCTAAATCCTCTGCATTTGTCCAGTTTCTCCTGATCTACGACCAATACATCGGTTGCCAAAGCCAGTGTCGTTAATACCGAAGCCCATCTCGTGAGATGATTGAGCCAATCCTGTCGGATGATACAATCTAAGCCATCAGTTACAGACCCGCCATGGTCTCCCCGTTCGTGAACAGCAGATGATCACTCGCAGTAAGACGACTTGAACAAACTCCTAACAGGATCTCATTGAAAATGTCTTCTCCGTCAAGTGTTGATCAGATCACATGTCGCAGATATTCCTCAGCGAGACAACCGCCACCACTTCCGCCAAAAAGAGTCTCTTCATTGATGCCTAATTCGCCATACAATGCCTCTGAAGACCCGTTTGGCATTTATGCACAACCCGGTTTTACTGCGGCTAAATTGCCTACTGTGTCGGCAAACAAACGGACGGCTAGACCGTCGTCAGAAATGTTCAACGAACAGCCAACTGAGATCAGAACCTTTAAAAGATACTCCCAACTGCCCTCTACCTCAGAAGACCCGTATAGCCTTAATGCACAACATGGTTCTATTGCGGCTGATTTGCCTACTTTCTCAGCAAACAGACGGAAAACTAGACCGTCGTCTGAAATGTTCTACGAACAGCCAACTGAGATCAGAACCTTTAAAAGATACTCCCAACAACTGCCCTCTACCTCAGAAGACCCGTATAGCCTTGATGCACAACCTGGTTCAATTGCGGCTGAATTGTCTACTTTCTCGGCAAACAGACGGAAGGCTAGACCATCGTCAGAAATGTTCAACATGCAGCCATCTGAGATCAAAACCTTTAAAAGATACTCCCAACAACTGCCCTCTACCTCAGAAGACCCGTATAGCCTTAATGCACAACCTGGTTCTACTGCGGCTGAACTATCTACTTTCTCGGCAAACGTGTCTCCCTCTGAGATCAAAACCTTCAACAGATACTCTCAACCAGTGCCAGCCCCCCGATCGTCTTTGTTGAAAACAGCTCAACAGCCGGCCACCAGTGAATCATCAGACATCTATGCCAATATGTCTGCCGGTGACAAGAGCTTCGACATGCCTCCAAAACCTCGAAGACCGCACAGGGCTGCCGCAGAGAAAGAACGTCCATCTACACTGAAATTCACTGATTTGGAAAGCTTTGACTTTCATCCTGTCATAGACTCTCCGAAAAAAAGTTCAGCTTTCTTTCTCGCTTCTAGACACAAACATTCTTCACGACATAGTCGGGGGAGTTTTGACAAAGACTTTGACAGCACCTTCGATACTTCAGACCTCAACGATGAGACCTTAAATGAGGTTAACACTACAGGGAGCAAACCGCTGCCTCCTAATCCCCCGTCGCCGTTCGTTCCCAGACGCCCTGAATCGTTCCTGGACAAGACTTCGGGATCTAATCTCACCTTAAACCCATTTGCCAAACCGGGACCTCTCGACCCATACGTGGGATCCAGTGTGGTTGTAGGTTTGACGAATTCGAATTTCAAACCATTCCTCAAGGATGTGGATGCGGCACTTGTCCTCTTCTATGATCCGTGGAATAAAAACTGCAAATGGGCAAAGATAAATATGCGAGAGGTGAGCGATACCTGTCTCTCATTGCTGTAGTGCTATTTCTTGTGCAAGTGCGTGTGTATTTCTGTCTATCATTGTTGTCGTTTTACCTATGGTCGTTGTCCACACTAAAATTACTAATAAATTGTCATCTGGGGGATCTTTCAATATAGTGGATGTCGCCACTACGTGCATTTATGGATGACACAACTATCATAACGCGCAGTGAGGAAGATGCACGTAAGATTCTAAAAAGGTTGGACAGTGTTATAGAATGGTGGGAGTTGCAGTTCAGACCCCAGAAATCAAGAAGTTTGTCAATCCTTCAAGGTGAGGTGGCAGCAGTCGGTTTTATTGTGGCAAAGAATCGGATTCCCTGATCCGATGCAACTAAGGCGGGAAAAGGGATCTACACTTTACTTACTTTACCAGAATCATTGCACTATCCATTTGATCCTATCTAGCCTTCGACACAAAAACTTTATCATTAGTAGCTCACCGCCTAGAGGAGCGTAGCAGCTAATCTATCTTCCTGCTCTTTACCTCGCACACCTGAATTTCCAGCATCAACTACAGTATCGCCTCTATAGTCATTATGATGCCTAGTAGGCCCCAAACTAAATGTGTTTGACATCTGGGAACTCCAACAGAACGCCCTCTCACAGGAAAAGCTCCCGCCTAGACTGTCCTTGATTTCTGGGACCCTTGGTGGCCCTGGTATCTTCCTGCCTCTGCATGCAGTAACCACAGCCGCCAGTACTGCTCTTTTGAAACTACTATACGGGATCTCTGGGGAGAAGTGGGTCGTGCCGTTTGCCTCTCGCTCTAAAGGTCGTGGAGTTGAGTCACAGATGTGTTGTTCGAGTCACGAGTGAGGTGTTTACGGTGAACACTTGGGACATCACCGGAGCTACAGAGTTCGTGCTTTTGTTCGACGTTCTCGACGGGGGCTAGCCGTTCAGAGGAGAGACATAGAGCCATGCGGGATAACAACTCGCTCTAAAAAAAGTCGATCCTCTCGACTTCAGCCTGTAACCTTGTTACTATCATGGGGTTTAATACGATCGAAGAATTTCCGTTTTCCAGAAACGATACTGTTTGAAAACCAAGTCCATTCCCATTGTCAGAACAGGAAACACGTCATTTCACCGTCCCCCTTCTGTTAAATCCTCTCCCAGCTCCGACCCTTACGTTATTAAAGGATGTCATTATTCTTTTAAAATTTCTGTCAATTGTTGTTGTTGTTGTTGTTGTTGTTTGTTGTTGTTGTTGTTGTTGTTGTTGTTGTTGGTTGTTGTTGTTGTTGTTGTTGCTGTTGTTGTTGTTGTTGGTTGTTTATGAATAAAGTCTTGGTAAAAGAGCTGCTACTAATCATGTCATCAGGGTCGATGGGTTTGATCCTTCCAGACTGTTGCCTAGAGGTTTACCACACTGACATAAACAAACACACGTCCTCAGGGTCGATAGGTTTGATCCTTCCAGGCTGTTGCCTAGAGGTTTACCACACTGACATAAACAAACACACGTCCTCAGGGTCGATGGGTTTGATCCTTCCAGGCTGTTGCTTAGAGGTTTACCACACTGACATAAACAAACACACGTCATCAGGCTCGATAGTTTTGATCCTTCCAGCCTGTTGCCTAGAGGTTTACCACACTGACATAAAACAAACACACGTCCTCAGGGTCGATAGTTTTGATCCTTCCAGACTGTTGCCTAGAGGTTTACCACACTGACATAAACAAACACACGTCATCAGGCTCGATAGGTTTGGTCCTTCCAGGCTGTTGCCTAGAGGTTTACCACACTGACATAAACAAACACACGTCCTCAGGGTCGATAGGTTTGGTCCTTCCAGGCTGTTGCCTAGAGGTTTACCACACTGACATAAAACAAACACACGTCCTCAGGGTCGATGGGTTTGATCCTTCCAGGCTGTTGCCTAGAGGTTTACCACACTGACATAAACAAACACACGTCCTCAGGGTCGATGGGTTTGATCCTTCCAGGCTGTTGCCTAGAGGTTTACCACACTGACATAAAACAAACACACGTCATCAGGGTCGATGGGTTTGATCCTTCCAGGCTGTTGCCTAGAGTTTTACCACACTGACATAAAACAAACACACGTCCTCAGGGTCGATGGGTTTGGTCCTTCCAGGCTGTTGCCTAGAGGTTTACCACACTGAGATAAACAAACACACGTCCTCAGGGTCGATGGGTTTGATCCTTCCAGGCTGTTGCCTAGAAGTTTACCACACTGACATAAACAAACACACGTCATCAGGGTCGATGGGTTTGATCCTTCCAGGCTCTGGCCTGAAGTTTACCACACTGACATAAAACAAACACACGTCATCAGGGTCGATGGGTTTGATCCTTCCAGGCTCTGGCCTGAAGTTTACCACATTGACATAAAACAAACACACGTCATCAGGGTCGATGGGTTTGGTCCTTCCAGGCTCTGGCCGGAAAGTTGACCACACTGACATAAAACAAACACACGTCATCAGGGTCGATGGGTTTGATCCTTCCAGGCTCTGGCCTGAAAGTTGACCACACTGACATAAACAAACATATGTCAATAAACATGTCAAGTTAAATGGCGCGCCAATCGGGCAGATCCCAGACACCCCGTTCAATCTTTAAAAAAAAAAAATGTATTAATACTACACCGGTAAGGACGACGGCAGTTAATGTAATCTATAGAGTCGTTTGTTGAGTATGGACCTGGTGTGGAAAAGAAACATTTCTGATTGTCTGCAGGCTGCAAACATCACACAGCGACGGAACCACGTCTTTGCCGCCGTCGACTGCACCATCGAGTCTCAGCTGTGCAAGCGACAAAAAATCTCCGTCTTCCCAACCATGAAACTCTTCGCTCAGGGAAAGACCGTGTCGACATACCTGGATGACTCCTTCTTGTCGAGCCAACAGATGGTCGACTTCGTGGAGAAGACACCATCTGTGTCTAAACAGTTGCCGCCTGCTAAAGAATGTGTAATTCAGTAACTTCCGTCAGTTTCAAGTCTAGTCCGCGTACCTTAACGGGTGGCAAAGTCATGGCTGACTCATCCATTCACCTGTGATCTATGACCTACAGTTGCTCGAAAAAAAAACGTATAATAAAGAATGCATTTTTCATCTTGTTGACTTTTTTTTCACATGGAATGACTTGAATTCTTATTTTATAAGCGACTTACTAAATTTTGCATTTGTGTAATAATTATTGATTCAGTCATTTAAACTCTTTTTCCTTTTCTTTGTTTAGATCTGAACTTTGTTTTGTTACCTGAAAATTCAGTTTCGTTTCTTCTTGATGGTTTCTCACTCTGACATGTCATAGTTTCGTTTCTTCTTGATGGTTTCTCACTCTGACATGTCATAGTTTCGTTTCTTCTTGATGGTTTCTCACTCTGACATGTCATAGTTTCGTTTCTTCTTGATGGTTTCTCACTCTAAGACATGTCATAGTTTCGTTTCTTCTTGATGGTTTCTCACTCTGACATGTCATAGTTTCGTTTCTTCTTGATGGTTTCTCACTCTAAGACATGTCATAGTTTCGTTTCTTCTTGATGGTTTCTCACTCTAAGACATGTCATAGTTTCGTTTCTTCTTGATGGTTTCTCACTCTGACATGTCATAGTTTCGTTTCTTCTTGATGGTTTCTCACTCTAAGACATGACATAGTTTCGTTTCTTCTTGATGGTTTCTCACTCTAAGACATGTCAAAGTTTCGTTTCTTCTTGATGGTTTCTCACTCTAAGACATGACATAGTTTCGTTTCTTCTTGATGGTTTCTCACTCTAAGACATGTCATAGTTTCGTTTCTTCTTGATGGTTTCTCACTCTAAGACATGTCATAGTTTCGTTTCTTCTTGATGGTTTCTCACTCTAAGACATGACATAGTTTCGTTTCTTCTTGATGGTTTCTCACTCTAAGACATGACATAGTTTCGTTTCTTCTTGATGGTTTCTCACTCTGACATGTCATAGTTTCGTTTCTTCTTGATGGTTTCTCACTCTAAGACATGACATAGTTTCGTTTCTTCTTGATGGTTTCTCACTCTAAGACATGTCATAGTTTCGTTTCTTCTTGATGGTTTCTCACTCTAAGACATGTCATAGTTTCGTTTCTTCTTGATGGTTTCTCACTCTAAGACATGTCATAGTTTCGTTTCTTCTTGATGGTTTCTCACTCTAAGACATGTCATAGTTTCGTTTCTTCTTGATGGTTTCTCACTCTAAGACATGTCATAGTTTCGTTTCTTCTTGATGGTTTCTCACTCTAAGACATGACATAGTTTCGTTTCTTCTTGATGGTTTCTCACTCTAAGACATGTCATAGTTTCGTTTCTTCTTGATGGTTTCTCACTCTAAGACATGTCATAGTTTCGTTTCTTCTTGATGGTTTCTCACTCTAAGACATGACATAGTTTCGTTTCTTCTTGATGGTTTCTCACTCTATGACATGACATAGTTTCATTTCTTCTTGATGGTTTCTCACTCTAAGACATGTCATAGTTTCGTTTCTTCTTGATGGTTTCTCACTCTAAGACATGTCATAGTTTCGTTTCTTCTTGATGGTTTCTCACTCTAAGACATGTCATAGTTTCGTTTCTTCTTGATGGTTTCTCACTCTAAGACATGTCATAGTTTCGTTTCTTCTTGATGGTTTCTCACTCTAAGACATGACATAGTTTCGTTTCTTCTTGATGGTTTCTCACTCTAAGACATGTCATAGTTTCGTTTCTTCTTGATGGTTTCTCACTCTAAGACATGTCATAGTTTCGTTTCTTCTTGATGGTTTCTCACTCTAAGACATGTCATAGTTTCGTTTCTTCTTGATGGTTTCTCACTCTAAGACATGTCATAGTTTCGTTTCTTCTTGATGGTTTCTCACTCTGACATGTCATAGTTTCGTTTCTTCTTGATGGTTTCTCACTCTGACATGTCATAGTTTCGTTTCTTCTTGATGGTTTCTCACTCTAAGACATGACATAGTTTCGTTTCTTCTTGATGGTTTCTCACTCTAAGACATGTCATAGTTTGAACAGCAGAAGGACAGAAGTAATGGCCATTACAAAGACAACTGATCATCCAAAATTTTGCTTCAAAGTAAGTGTGTAAACTTCAAGCATACTGATTCTGTGTACTTGTGAAGTAAGTAATTAAAGATCCCTTTTGACGTCTTAGGCCTGTCGGGCATATGGGAAGAGCACCCATGTTTTTACAGACCAATCGGAACTAGGTGGGTAATGTTGTCAGCATTACGCCGGCCGTCTTTACTTCATCAGGACAGCCATCCCGGTACCCATTTTAGACTGGGTCGACCAGCGACGCCCCATACCATGATAAAAAGCCACGCAGCCAGCGGTAGGTTTCGATCGCCGTACGTCACACTCGCAACATCTAAGTTACGGACGCCGCTCTATATAATTGAGTACCCTAAAAACATCATATGGAAGATGTATTAGGGAAGCTAAATGTCGAATAGCTCAAGCAAAGGCTGCATTTTACACAATGAAAAATATTTTATGCAATCTTTGTCAACTGATACGAGAATGAGAATTATAACAAGCTATAAAAATCTGTTACTGATATACGAACATGAATCATGGACAGTTATTAAATAAGTGAAACGTGAGGACGTCTTCGAAGAAATTGACTTACGTGGAGAACTGACTGACAACATTAGAAAGAGACAATCTAAATCCTCTGGTCGTGTGATGAGTAGCAGAAGTCTGGAGTAAATCGTGACAGTAGGAAAGTGGGAGGGGAGGAGAGGCAGAGCCAAAACGAGAGAACAGATGCTAAAAGGTTTGACATCATGGCATAGAAGATCAGCTAAGCCAGAGTTAAATAAAAGTATACGAGACTACCAACGCCACACGGCGTAGACTTTAAGAAGAGGAGGCATCTTAATCTTTATCTTCTTCATCTTCATCTTCTTCTCCATCTCCATCTTAATCGTCATTTTAATCTTCTTCTTCTACTTCACCTTCCTTATCTTCTTCTTCACATTCCTCTTCATCTTTTTCACATTCTTGTTAAGCTTTTCTTTAATTTTCTTCTTCATCTTCGTTTTCATATTTATCTTCTTCTTCGTCTTTTTTATCTTCTTCACACTCATCTTCACCTTTTTCTTCTTCTTCTTTCTTTCTTTTTTTCGTCCTCTTCTTCTTCTTCTTCATCTTCTTCTTCTTCTTCTTCTTCTTCTTCTTCTTCTTCTTCTTCTTCTTCTTCTTCTTCTTCTTCTTCTTCTTCTTCTTCTTCTTCTTCTTCTTCTTTCTTCTTCTTCTTCTTCTTCTTCTTCTTCTTCTTCTTCTTCTTCTTCTTCTTCTTCTTCTTCATCTTCATCTGCATCTTCTTTAGTGCTAGCAGATCTATATTGCGTGTGCCGGCTTCAGCATTTTGCTGGGACTAATAGGTTTTTACTAGTTTGAAATGTAACAGAGAAGGAAATCGTTTGTGGTTTGCATTGGCACGGAAGTTGGGTAGTTTTACTGAAACCTCAAGTAACAACAAACGTCGCAGTTATTGGTCACTTATCCAGGTCCGTGTACTCACTGACAATTTACGTGAGAGAGTGCAGAAACTAGAGACAGTCATCGACAGATAGTTTTCAGTTTCCTCCAGCTTTAACCACATCAGAGTGCCAGCAGTCTCTGCAACAATGGCGTGTCCACCCAGCAGTCTCTGCAACAATGGCGTGTCCACCCAGCAGTCTCTGCAACAATGGCGTGTCCACCCAGCAGTCTCTGCAACAATGGCGTGTCCACCCAGCGGTCTCTGCAACAATGGCGTGTCCACCCAGCAGTCTCTGCAACAATGGCGTGTCCACCCAGCAGTCTCTGCAACAATGGCGTTGCATGGCAGCCTTCCCTGCATCAGTGGCGTGCATGACAGTCATCTCTGCAACAGTGGCGCAGCAAGCTGTCCCTGCAACAGTGGCGTGACCACCCAGCCGTCTCTTCACCAGTGGCACAGCCAGCCGTCCCTGCAACAGTGGCGTGACCACCCAGCCGTCTTTACAACAGTGGCGTGACCACCCAGCCGTCTCTTCACCAGTGGCGCAGCAAGCTGTCCCTGCAACAGTGGCGTGACCACCCAGCCGTCTTTACAACAGTGGCGTGACCACCCAGCCGTCTCTTCACCAGTGGCACAGCCAGCTGTCTCTGCAACAGTGGCGTGACCACCCAGCCGTCTCTGCAACAGTGGCGTGACCACCCAGCCGTATCTGCAACAGTGGCGTGACCACCCAGCCGTCTCTGCAACAGTTGCGTGACCACCCAGCCGTTTCTGCAACAGTGACGTTGCATGACAGCCGTCTCTGCAATAGTGGCGCGGCTAACCAGCAGTCTCTGCAACAATGGCGTGTCCACCCAGCCGTGGATAATGGCAAACATGTTCCGTCGAAGAAATATGTGCCAGATAGTCAAATATGAAACAATGATAATGTTATAATTGTAAACCCGTGTTGTACACAAAATGGCTAAGAAGCAAAGGAATATTTTAATTCTAAAAGACCATCAGTCTGCCTCTAGTCATCCCTGTGTGCGATGCCATTTTTAATTTGTGAAGCCCTACACTGACTCTTGCCAGGGGCCGCAAAATAGCCAGGCCATAAATATGGTCTAATGGCTGAACCATGAATCATGATAAAAATCTATCATGCATTATGTGAAAAGATATGGAAATATGGTATTTGGCCAAAAGACTGGAAGAGAACTATCTTCATTCCAATACCAAAAAAGGGTGACCTGAAATCATGTACAAACTATCGAACTATTGCCCTGATCAGTCATGCAAGTAAAATTCTACTAAAAATTATATTGAGAAGACTGCAAAAGAAAATGGAAGAAGAGATTAATGTAGCTCAGGCTGGATTTAGACAGGGAAGAGGAACAAGAGATCATATATTCAACATGCGTTTAATAATAGAGAAGTGTAGAGAATTTAATGTAAATCTGTTCTTATGTTTTGTGGATTATTCAAAAGCATTTGACTGT